AGAAAAATGTTATTCATACATCTTTTTTTACCTCTCATGCACATTTCTTAATCCGTGAGAACGAATCAATTAGAGAAAATAAAAAAAAACATAACTGTCATGGACGTATGGCAAGTAAAAAAGGGCGTTTGCACATTTGCAAATAGAAAATTGCACGTGCTAACTTAAGCATCCAGCTAGAAAACAGGCATTGGTTGAAAAATGTCTACTGCATTATTATGTAATATTTTATGAACTTGCTTTGCACATTGCACTCCAAGTGCATTTATTTTAAGGAAAACTAATGAAAATGACATGAAAATTTTGAGTTTAAACGATAAAGACAAAATAAAGGGTAAAATAAATAGTACCAGGTTTAACTTTTTAGTGTAAAAATGTGATTTTTCATTAAAATGAACAGTATCGCGGGTTTTTCGTTAAAACTCTTTTTATTTTATTTTGTTGTTCCACAGTTGCACTACACATGATTTTTTTTTTTTTAATTTTTTATTGTTCCAATTCAAAACCAGTATTTACGTTGAGAACACCTTAAGCAATTTCAACATATCGATCCAAATTTAAGTGCTTTGATTTGCAAGTAAAGTACCTCAAAGTCGTATGATGAAATTGATCACAGCCTATCTGGATCAAATTATGTTCCTAATTGTCGAAGGGCCGTATTTTCCTATTTTCGTTTCGCTCCTTGTCTGCATCCTGGTGATTTTTTGGAAGCGATCCAGAGCCGGAGGCCTAAAGTCACCCCCAGGGCCATGGAAGCTGCCGATTATTGGAAACTTGCATCAAATGGTCGGTCGACTACCACACCACATATTTAGAGACTTAGCCAAGAAACATGGACCCATCATGCACCTTAAACTGGGTCAATTAGAGGCCGTGATTATTTCATCTCCCAAAGCTGCCCGGGAGGTGTTGAAGATTCATGAGCTTGCGTTTGCGCAGAGGCCTATTGTTTTGGCGACAGAGGTTTTGTCTTTTGGTCAAGGAGGTATTATCTCTGCTCCTTATGGAGATTTATGGAGATCGCTGAGAAAGGTTTGTATGTTCGAGCTACTGAGCGCGAAACGTGTGCAGTCTTTCAGATCCATAAGAGAAGAGGAGGCACAGAATCTTGTTGAGTCCATTGGCTCAATGTCTCACAGGGGACTAGCCATCAATTTTAGTGACAGGTGCTGCAGCTTCGCAAATGACGTGGTGTCAAAGGCAGCATTTGGGAAAAAATGCAAAGACCAAAAGGAGTTCCTTTCGCTACTAGACGAAGTAAACAAACTTGCTAGTGGGTTTGATATTCCTGATTTGTTTCCTTCACTCAGTTTTCTTGGGTTCGTTACTGGGTCGATCCCTGCTTTGAAAGACATACAAAGCAAGCTCGGTAAGATTCTCGAAAATATCATCAACGATCATAAGACCAAAAGATCCAAAAGGGACTTGATGATCCGTAGTACTAGTACTACTACAGCAGGCAATGACAAAGCGGAGGAGGGGGAGGAGGAAAATTTTGTTGACGTACTTCTAAAACTTAAAGAGTCCAATAAGGCGGAGTTCAACTTCACTACCAATCAGATCAAAGATATCATTCTGGTGAGTAATGTAGGCTTGCTTTGTTGTACTGTAGACATTTCATCTTCGTTGTCATTCATCACTTAATAGAAATATATGAAGGGGTTTTATCACAAATGGTTGCTTATGTTTTTTAAACTCATGATTTTGGTCCCGCACATTGAAAATCAATTATTGTCATGCTACACATTTTGCCCCACACACCAATGTCGTCCTTACGGTCTAACTCAGTCAAAAAAAATTGTTATGTGCAGGACATCTTCGCTGCAGCAAGCGAGACTTCAGCTACCATAGAATGGGCAATGTCAGAGTTGATGAAAAACCCAAGAATCATGAAGAGGGCTCAAGCTGAAGTGAGACAGTCAGTTGTCCAATTTGAAGGAAAGAAAGGCAAAGTTATTGAAGAAAGAGATGTTAAAAAGTTGGACTACTTGAAATCGGTGGTGAAAGAAACTCTGAGGTTACACTCTCCACTCGCTTTGCTCCCAAGAGAAGCAAGGGACACGGTTCAAGTCGGCGGATTCAAATTACCAGTTAAATCAAAAGTAATTATTAATCTATGGGCAATGGGAAGAGACCCAGATATATGGGGGGCAGATGCTGAGTGTTTTAAGCCAGAGAGGTTTCATGGCTCTTCTGTTGACTTTAAGGGTTTTGACTTTGAGTTCATTCCATTTGGTGCCGGCAGAAGAATATGTCCAGGCATGTCATTTGGTGTTACCGTGATTGAACTTGCTCTCGCTGAATTGCTCTACCACTTCGATTGGAAACTGGCGAATGGGATGAATCCAGACGAACTTGACATGACAGAGAGTTTAGGACTGACCTGCAAGAGAAAGAATGCTTTGTACCTAACTGCCACCCCACATTTTACTTCACTCGGTGAGTCACAGTGACTCATCGTTTTGTTGCCATGAATGGCCAACAAAACCAGCACCATTCTGGTCTTTCAAGTCTCAATTGTTCATTCACTTCTGTATTCCCTCTTTTACAGGCTAAAACATGTTTTCAGTACCATCAGCCTTCGCAATGTTCCACTTTTGTTCCTATGTTTTCGAGTGCAACGATTTTCATCCCTGCAGTTTGCAGATTGTTTAAATCCAAGGCTTCTTTTCATTTGGTACTTGCGTAACAAGGCATGATTAATGCAATGTTAAATTAATAATAATATGTTATGTATCCCTAAGATGTAAACTTCTTATTCAGATCAGTAATGCATGTACTTGTGTGTGTTCTTTTGGTGAATGCTTCTTTATACGTTGATGATACGTACTTCATACTTATGAGTATTCTTTCAAAATTCGTTGTCCACGGCGATTGCATGAGACGACGAATAAGAAATAAACTTGCTTAGAGTACGATCAGGATCGCCGTCAAGAACGCTCAACTTCAAGATTTTTACACATTAGCAATGTTAAACCTATCGGTCAATGACGCGATAGTACTCCATTAAACGTAGTTTAAGAATTTTGAATATCTTACGGATAGATATTGTATTTCAATTTCCACTCACTCATGCAAAATTAATGCTAAATTTAGACAAATTTTTAGTACTAGAAACACAAACTATGCAGTGCATCATCTCACTTGTGGTAAACGATATGGTTTATATGTCCAATGAAAGACAAACCCGAAGACCTTTTTTGTTATCGGCTTCCCAACCCTTTTTGGTTTCACCAAGTGAGTCTTGGCCGGACAACCACATGTGCGGCTACCGGACCAAAACGCTCTGGTGGATGTGGGCTTATAGCTCAAGCCCAATGGACTAAGTATAAACGGCCCAAATAAAAAATTAGAACGCACTCGGCAGAGATACCCAATCAGCAGCCTCCAGGATAAGGTTTTCACTATCTTCTCCTTTCCTCTTCTTTCTTCGTCCAAAGCTATAAGCTTTGGCTGTCCACAAATTCACACTCTCCTGTTTATGAAAGCTTAATAATTTCTCAGAAATGGCGGTTGCGTCCATGAGTTTCAACGTAGTCAGAGCTTTCAGGGGGCTGTCTCTCCGCCCAACCTCCACCTCCAGCTCGTCCTCCTCCTCCTTCTTCAGAGGCGATTTGGGTTCTCTGCAACTGGGTCCCAAGCTATCGTTAGTGTCGTCGGGCCCACAGAGACTTCCATTGACGATTCAAAACGCGCACAAGAAAGGAGCTGGGAGTACCAAGAACGGCCGTGATTCCAAAGGCCAGAGGCTCGGCGTCAAGATTTACGGCGACCAGGTCGCCAAGGCTGGCTCCATCATTGTCCGCCAGCGTGGCACCAAGGTAACTTCAATTTCACCCATTTTTCTGATAAAATTGGTTATTATTATTATTATTTTTTTTTTTTTTTTTTTTGGCATGGTAGGATTTAGGAATAATTAAAGGAATCTTAACGAAAAGTTGTCGGTACGGTTCATTTTAACGAAAAATCATATTTTACACTAAAATGTCAATCTGATACCATTTATTTTACCTTTTATTTTATTATTTTCGTTAAAATTCAAAGTTTTCAAGCATTTTTCATTAGTTTTCTGTAATTAAAACCAATTTGAGAAGGAAATGAACTGTGTCGAACTTGAATTTGGGTACTTGAAGCTAGGGATTGGCAATGGATCATGTTTGGGTTTACTCATTTATATATGCGTCTTGCTCATTTCATTTAGATGGATGTTTATTTCCGTCATTCGGATTGAATAAATCAAAAGAAAATCAATAAACAAAAATAAATGCGACCATATAGAAAGAAAAAAAATGAACGCGGAAATCATTTCTCTTGACTAATGTTTCATTTTGGCACATGTAGAAATGTAGAATGTTGTTGTGACTTCTGGGTTTGTTTTGGCATCGAATTATCAGTTCCATGCAGGGAAGAATGTGGGGCTCGGCAAGGACCACACCATATTCTCTTTGATTGATGGCATGGTTAAATTTGAGAAGTTTGGACCCGACAAGAAGAAGGTATGATCTGGAGTTCTTGTGGTTTGATTGTCTGCGTATTGTATGCTAACACGAATCGTTGATTTGTATTATCCGCAGATTAGTGTTTACCCTCGAGAAGTCCAGCCGGAGAACCCCAACAGCTACCGGGTTAAAAAGAGGGAGAACTTCAGGCTACAGCGTGAACGTAAGAAAGCGAGAAAGGAAGGCTACATCCTTCAAAACAAACCCGAGCTACTACTTGCTTCTGCTGATGCTGCAGATGCCAATCCGGTTTGTTAATTTCTCGGTTCTATGTTGAGCAATCTTGCAGTTGAGTTTGCCTTGCTTTTCCTTTTCCCTTTTGTAAAATTTTATAAGAACACTTCCACCGGAAAATCTCGAGTCGTGTATTGAGTTTGCAATTTTAGTACCTCTCGTCTAGTGATCGGCTTAGTCTGCAAAATCTCACTCCGATTCTCCTTTTCGTTCTCCATATGTTCGAAGATGATAGAGAGAATGAACGAGCCATGACCAAGAGAGAAGTTCTAAATGGCTAAATGCTTTGAATTATGGTAGAACAAGTTAAAGAGAGTACAATCTCAACTGCTTCAGAAACATTATTTCAACTAGCTCTGAAGAAACAAATGTCTAAAACACTGATTAACATCACAGTGCCCGTGACGGTAGATCGTGATGGTAGATCTTGGCCCTCCTTAGCGCTCACTGCCAGACTTTCATCTACTTGAAAGTGCCAAACGACCTGCAGCACAAACATTAAATTTTACAGACGCTTAATTGGCGAAACAATGATCAAGAACCTTAACCTTTAAGTAGAAATCCTGTGATTCCCTTGATTTACGACTACAAGCATTCCCACGCAATCATACACGATGATCAAACACTCGGAAATTGGAACAATTCGCATGTAAATCTGTATAAAACCAATCACATTCGCAGAATCCAGTCATTCAAGTTACAGAAAACAGATGGAACACCGGTGCCAGTGTGCAACTTTCGCAAGCAATGAATTGCCTTCATATACAAAATTAGGATAATTCAATACACACACAATTCCAAATATAATGGGCGACCTTAAGCCATCAAGGCTCTCCACTTTGCGATGGTCGGAAGGAATACTCAACCTTACCCCTTGAGGCATTTTCTGTTGCGTCAAAGCTCGCCTCACATTTCCAAATATAATTAAACTAAATTGGATCATGGAAATGGTAATTAAGAAATCCTAAATCAGAGTTCCATTTGCAAATTCATTGCATGCAAACTGACCATATAAAGAGGGCATTACCTAAGCAGCTCCGACGATGATGTTGTTGATCGGGATGAAGATCAGCTTCACGAAAAATCCGACGAATCCCATCACCACGAATCCGATCGCCGTACGGAGCGCCACCTTCGTGAACTCTGTTACATTCACACGGAAAAGAAAAGGCGCGCCGGATAGATTAGTCCGGTCCAAAGCACAGATCGCATCTCGAAGGTTTTCAAAATCAACAGGATTACGTTACACATTACATGCAGGTTGGATTAATTATCCGAAGAAGGAAATGGATGGGACTGGATTGGAAGTGGATGGGGTTATTATTACCTTTACGGTCGGGTTTGTGGCAGCGCTTCACGAGGCGGACGCTGTCCTTCGAGAACTCTCTCAGCGGACTGAACACTGAATCGATGGCGTCCATTTTTTCCGACGAGCTGAAGAATTGAGGGAACGAAGAACACGAACAGAATATCGAAGTTATGAGCTGAATTGAGAGGAAACAGGGGATCTTTATACACAGACGTAAAGCGCTCTATTGCAAATTGCAATTGTTGCACATCTGGGCACGGTTATACGACGTCGTCTGCATGTTGCCACTACAAAATCGAAAGTGCACTAGTTTTGAGAATTTCTTAACTCGTTTGAAAGTACTTTTTAAATGAGTGAAAGCGTTTATAAAAAAAATGATTTTGGATTTCAAAAGCACTTGAAGTGTGCTCTTCAAAAAGCATCAGTTATGTGCTTATTACATGAAGCATTTTAAATGATTTACTTGCATTTTTACTAAGAAGTACTTATTTCAAAAACATTTTCTTCAAATACGCTTTCAATCATTTTAAAAGCACTGAACTATTGCATTAAGCTAAAAGAAAAAAGAAAATATTCCATCCACATCGGTGATCCCAAAACATCCTTACAATCGGAGGGTGTAGCAAACTGCTCACTCATAACCGTTTAACAATTAATCATCACCACCTACAACATTCAAAATCTTCCGAAAGAGTTCTCGGCATTCCAACTTATGCAGAGTCCGGTTTTTTCTCACGTTGAACAGCTCTTGGGGTGAATGTCACGGCACGAGTGGGTCGACGACCAAAGCTGATGGCTGAAGGGGTCGAGTCTGATGTGCTTAATTTGGAGACGGCAGAAACAAGGCCATCCATGGTTTCGTTATCTACTTGCATACTAGATGAATCTGCGTTCTTTGAAACAACTTGTCTCCGTTGGTTCTTCTTCTGCCTCTGCTTTTTGGAAGGAAGAGCCTTCTTGAAAAACTCAAATGAAGTGGGGAATTTATGCTTGTCCACCAGATGTTGCTGCCGACTTTTATAGTTCTTGAACTTCAGACCACAGCCTTCTACAAGGCATTCATACTGTTACACCACAGAAATCCAAACAAAATTAACACGATTAAACCAGTGCATGCTCAAGAAGGCGATATAGAAATCTTTCGTCTTTGAATTAAGACCCTTTCAGTATATAAACCAGAAAACATATCTATAGACAAAGATATCACCTAGCAAAAACGATGAGCTTTAGCCAAGGCGCTGTCAGCGGAATTCAAGAGGAAAAGAAAAGTACGAAAAGTCTTCCATGGTAGTGTTTGGATTGTGTTCTTGCTTCATATAAAACACTAACATTTTCAACAAATAATGCTTTAATAAAAGTGCACGAAGAATGCTGGTGCAAGAGACAAAAGCAAACCGTCCTTTCAGTATATAAATCAGAAAACATCTGTATAGACAATATCATCTAGAAAAAGCGGTGATCTTTGAGGAATGCCGGATGGATTCTTCAGGTTTAAGTATAACTCTAGTTCGCACTTATGCGTTTTTTGAAACTTTTAAGGGGTAATGATATGCCGTTTGGGGGTGAGGATTTCAGCGATTACCCAATCCATCATCCGTGGGTTTCAAGCTTGACAGCTAGACAGTAGAAGAGAGAACAAAAACTATAAAATGACTTCAACGGTCACGTTTGGCTTCTGTTTTTGCTTCCCCTAGAACTCTCGTAATTTAAAACCAACAAAATTGGTAAAAGTGAAAGAGGAACTTGCACTACGCCATAACTGACTCAAATTCGAAAGCAAGAAGAAAATGTCATATGATGGACAATACCAGCACGAATCAAGGAGGAAAATAAAGAGTAAATACCATGAGATAGCCGCGTGCCACTTTCGACTGAAAGAAAGAATCGTGTGCTTCGGATACATGTATGCTGAGCAACCGTGAGGTTGGATAGACTCTAGAGCACACAGAACAAGACGCGGTGTGCCGTGCATTGTAGTGATCTTCAAAGTCCTCCAAGGAACTCAAGCGAGCACCGCAACCAACAATCGGACAGAAAACCCCCCTGCAAAAGCAAAGAACGCACTTCACATCAAGTAAAAAAGCAACAAAACAAACAATAGCGTCTTACTGCAGTACATTAATTTCATATAACCATGAAACGTGAATACCTGCCTTCCTCATCTACCATTTCTCGAAGCTGATGCTTTTCGTCTTCGGTTAAATCCAATGCAATCTAACCAAAATCACAGTAAATTGATTTAGCATAAAGCAACCCCAAATTCAAAACTCAAATGTGCTACCAAAATTTTGAAATGCTAATTCCTCATTGCGTTTGATGATTAAAAAACCCAGTTCAAATTCGGACTCGAGCGACGCAAATCATCTGAGATGACATCAAAATTCATGAAATGTACACCAAATTAGAGAGAAATGTAAACCTGTTTGGCGAGCAGTTCCCTCTCGATGTTTCCAGTTGCGAAGAAAGGAGATTCAGGAGCAAACCTTCGACGGAGGGGTTTCCAGTGCGGAAACCCCAGTCGTGCTTCTTCTCCATCCATCGACGCCATGGCCGTTGTAGTCTTCCTCTTCAACTGTGTGCCCTCATATAGACTTGTTTGAAATTTGAATCGCGTATCGGTAAGATTCGTATGCTCCACCCGTACGAAATATTGGAGAGATTTTTTAGGGTGACATACAGATGGTACACACTATATAAATAATGAGATATGTGTTAATAATTTAATAAATAAAATTCTCCATCACTTAGAGCAAGTCCACCGGAGGACTTTTTGCCCAGCACCCAGTTGAAAAAATAGGCCAGGACCCAGTGGATCCCCTCCAGCCGACCCAATTGACTGGCGCTCAGCCCATGCCAGTCTCTAGCCCAGCCCATTTTTGACTGACCAAGGGACTGGCCTGTTTGCATTTTTGCACTGGCGCGTGGCCTTCACGATCGCGTGGGCGCGAGTAAGAGACAAGAAATCAGGTGGTGGGGTCCGCACGCAGGCGCACTCAGACCACAACCCGAGCTCAGCGACGTGGCCCACTTGCAGCCGTTGGATTTCCAACGGGTAGTTATTCTAGACCGTTGGATTTTCAACGGTAAAAAAAAATTTAATTTCACTTTTAAACTGGACCGTCCGATCATAGATCAACGGTCCACGTTTTTTCCCCCAAAAAATTAAGAATTTCACTTTTAAAAAATACATAAACTTTTTAATAAATTTAGAAATTATTATTATTATTATTATTTTATTTTTTATAAATTCAGAAATTAAAAATAAAATTATTATTTTATAATAAAAAAACTAATATTTTAATATAATGGACTAGGCTATTTTTTGTTAGAGGTGGAGATGCTTGGGCCTATTACTGTTCACTTGAATGGATAAATGCGCTGGGTGCTGACACAAAGTCCTTAGGGGTGGACTTGCTCTTACGTAAAACCTCGTAGTATACTATCCGTGTTTCCGTTACAATGAAAATTTTCTCGAAATACTATAAGGCCATCATGAGAGATTTGGGCCTGCCGACATTCTATAAGGCCATCTATATATGGGCCTATTTGCATGGTTATGAACGTTACATTCAAAGTTCCCAACTTCATTTGAACTTTGCAATATTCAAGGCAGGGATGCGATGCATCGATCATGATTTTGCTTCACCAAACGGGGATACAGAGAAGTACTTCACTGATAAGCTGTCGTTAGCAGGAGACGGGTTTGACACCGGGATCAAGGCAAAGCAAGCAGGGCAAAGCAAGCAGTGGAAGCACAATGCCCCGGTGTCGTCTCCTGTGCTGACATTTTGGCAATGACAGTCCGGGATTGTGTATTCTTTGTAAGTGTTGTCTTGAGACTCATATGAGTTGTGGTGCACTTCCACTAGACAATGAACTGGCTCTCTCATGTTCCACATTCAATTTTCTGCAGGCAGGAGGCCCTTCGTTCAACGTGGAATTGGGACACCGTGATGGACTCATCTCGAAAGCCTCACGGGTTGCTGGGGAAAGGGTTGTTGAGCTCAGATCAGGTTCTTTTCTCTGGCTCTGCATCACAGCCCATTTTCCTTGACTTTGCTAAGAACCCAGGTAACTTCAACGAAGCCTCGTCGCTGCCATGAGGAAGCTTGGAAGAGTCGGTTTTAAGACTGGTAATCAAGGGGGGATCAGGAGACACTGCACCACCTTCAATTCATGATCATCGATAGCTAACAAGCACCCGATAATCTCCAAAAGAAGAACTTAATTCTCAGGAATTTAAGTTTTTCATAACAATTGTAACTGTTCTAAACCCTTCATTCATGGGAAAATTATGAACACAACTGATCACGAAACAACAAAATTTCAAGGTCAATTGACTGGCAAAATTCAATACAACGTTCTTATACTCGAAAAGACAATCTTACACAACCATACATAGCACTGAATTGGGGCACCGATCCTCAAGAGTACTGAAGAGGCGTGCACTTGCCTCCATCATCCTTGAAATGTGGTTACAGAAACACACAAAGAATCTACACAACCCTCAGACAAAGTATAGAAACATCAAAACAATTTGGAAGAAATACAATGTGGTTTGACACAGAAAAAAAATACAGGATGTATTGGATGGAATCCTCAGCTTATGAAAGCCCAGCTGGACGTGATTTTCCATACAGGTTGGCATATACAATCTTAGTCCGATGTACCAGAATCATGCTTAAAACAAAGGCAACAATGCATAATCCGGACATGATTAACGAAGTTAAGAAGAAGCATATAGAACCGTCACACTTTGGCGCGTCCATTCGAAGCATGCCTTGGAAAACTGATGTTCCTGGACTCATATGCAGGTGATGGTGCTGATGAGCTTGCTTCTCAGCTTCAAAGTCGTATATGCTGCTAGCAATCACGCCAGAAAAGAGCAACGAACCAGCAGGGTTTGCAATTGTGAGGAAATTGTACAAAGCCCCAAACTTTTTCAAGCCAAACAATTCAGAAGCAGCAGCTGGCACTATCGCCCAATGTGCCCCATAGCCTAGCCCAACCAAGATGGTGGCAATGTGCATTGCCCCAGGCCATCCGAAAGCAATGAAGATATGCCCAATTGCCATAATGAATTGTGCCACAGCCATTGCTACCGGTCTTGGATAAGCATAGTCCCTATCAAATGCATAGCGATGGATGAGAATTGAGAAGTCACAAACCCAAGTTTAAATAATGCTCTACATAAACTCTAGATGAGAATGTAATCAGTTCATACCTCACAATAATCTCAGAGAAGTAACCGCCACCAACCCGACCAAGAAAGTTCCAGATGCTGATCATGGATACAAATATATGTGTATCATCATACCCGAGAGACTGGCTCATCTGACCGAGGTTATCAATCACTGTCAAACCAGATCCTGAACCCAAGAGAAGTGAGAAAAAAATCAGCCAAAAGTCTGCTTTGATCAAAGCTTGTGTCAAGGTGAAGTCTTCCCCTCTACGC